GCTTTCATACCATAACGCGTGGCCTCTTTGGCCAGACGGGCGGCAAACTCTTCGGCGGTTCCCGTTTGGGAGCCATAAAACACGACCACATTTCGGCCCTATTTTGGCAATTAATTACAATTACAAAACACATCGTTATAAAAGTTAATTCACTGAATACTAACCCCAGACTTCATTTTGCTAATAAAACCCGATTCCGAGACACTTCTCGTGAGCGTCGGTCTATAAAAACGAAACAAAAATAAATAAATAAATAAGTCTGAAAAAAACGGCGACAAATAGCTTGATGACTGACTCAATGGAAAATGTTTTGATGGATGAGGTGTCGAATTCAGACTTTTTGCTCTTATTTCGTATGAAAAGCCAGTAATAAGAGCCCAAACCCAAGAGACTGAAGACTATTAAATAGTCGACAAAACTTAGGTAAGAGGACGGGCTGTCTTCAATTGCATCCATGATTTGACTCCTGTTTTAGTGGTTCCGCGGTCTCAGACTCTCACAGATAGGACTGAAATTTAAAACACAAATAATTAAAAATAATAAACATATGAATCATAACTCATATGATTTCTAAAAAAAACTTTTTTTAATGCTTTAATCCGTAGAAATGAATTTGCATTTCAAAAATAGATTCAATAAATTGGTTGACATTTTGTATATAAATTGTTTTCATATATATGTTTCAAACGGAAACAAACCATTTAATTAATAATTTCCTTAAAAAGTAGACAATTTTTCAAAATACTTTCGCTGATAACGTGTTTAACATAATTGGGGTGAAAGCGGATGCAAACAAAAAAGTTTTCAAATTCATTTAATTTGAAGTGAACCACAAAAATAAGTTAATTATTTAATACATAATGGCTTTAAGCCTAAAGATAATCACAATAATTATCGCGAGTTTTATGAAGTTTTTAGAGATAATGAATGTGTGTTTCTCTCTCTCATAGAGTTATCGCACGTAATGCTAAACGTATGAAATGTTACCGCAATTCAAGTCAGCCTTGAATTGCAATCAAATGATCGTTTGATTGAAAACTACATTCAATTCAAATTCAAGTACACGTTATTGTACTGTAATTAACGTCTAAATCAATGGCAAAATGGCTTTCAATCTCTAATATATCTCTAATACATACCAATCATTACGACAAACAGTATTTTCTTTATTTGTTTAATTAAATTGCAAATTCACGCAAATTTATGCCAATAATGATCATTAGTATATCACCGTCACATGCACATTTAAATGTATCATGCATGTTATTGGCAAATATTAAACTTAAACTTGAATTCAATTTACCTTGTTTCATAATATAGTTTACACTGTTTACTATTGAATCAAATTATAAGTTTAATTTAGATTGCAAATTAAAAAAGTAGTTAAAAATATAAATAACGAAAAAAAATAAATCATTTAATGATTACATAAAAAACTTACGAAACAATAATTTTGATGACAAAACAAATGAGTGATAAAAACGGGTTTCAATGTATGAAACAATTTGTAATGAAAGCAAAAACTAATCCAACAAAATGTAATTAACAAAACATATTTAACACACAACCAGACACACGATTAATAAAAAGTATATTAAAGTCTATAAATGAATAAAATTGCTAATAAAAAGTGATTAATTAAAGCGTTGAATGAGTGTAGGAAACAAACTGCAAATCAATGTGTTTTGCGTGAAGTCTGGATGTGTTATACGAGTGAATCAATTGTAAACTCAATGCAATCAACGAATCGACTCGTGATTTGCACTAACATTACATCATTTCATCACTCATT